TCTCACCGGTACCATAATCCTTATTGTTTATTGTGAGTTGTGATGTTTCTTCAATTCTAACTCAATATAAGGTAGTAATTACAGTATGTGTTAATGGTAACTTTCAGAAGTATTTCTACTATAGGTGGAGAAATAAATTATTGATAGGAATTGGAAATGGTTGTATGTGAACGGAAGAAAGAAAGCAGTACAAATTTTGAAGCTCTTCATTATGCAGTTTTCTCCATGCCCCGCCATCTCTTCTGGGCCCAAATGGGGTTCTATTAATGGACGGGAAATGTCTTAGGTAACTGACAGCTAGTAGCTTTTGAAGAAGAAATATACCATATTTTTCGTTATCCAATTGAATTCTTTTGTATTTTAGTTTACCAATGATAAAATACTAGCACCGTGAAGACACTGATAAAACAATAAGTTCAGATGTTATTGTTGTTTACAACATTCCTTCATAAAAATTAGTTTGAGTCCACAATGTGTTTCAGAATTAAGAGATCCTCTGGAATTTGTGGTTGGAATTTCTCTTCTGCATTCGGGAAGAACCAGGTTCAAATCCTGGCATGAAGACCTTCTATCCTGACTCAAGTTATACTTTTTTATTTTATATACGCACCGGGACAATTTCCTAAATTACGTTGCTACACCTCTTGTTCCATATCCTTTCCAATCCATTATCCAGCTCGGTCATTGCACTCGTTATAGTCTGTTACATACATATTCATTAAATACGAGCAAGGAATAAATGCAGAAATGTTATTTTTATTTCCATCTTCTTAAGCATGAATAAAAACACACGTAAATAGCAATTTACACACACTTCGCACATGTCAATGTACATCACAGAAATAGAGAAGCAGACTTCGAAGCTTCTGGTAGTTAGTTCATTAACTGAAATTTTGTCTATGTTAATTGCACAGGGCGACAGAAAAGCAAACTTTTAATATAGAATTAAAGGAACCACATTTTGTCGTCCACTTATTTTCGTCTTCATGTAAAAAAACGAGTGATTCATGACCGAAGACGAAACTTAAATGCGTGTCAAAGAGAGCGGAATCTTCCCAATCGGATGGAACAGGAAAGATTTTGGGTCAATGACTATAGGCACAGGAGTGTCTTTGCAGGGCGCCACATCGTAATTGGAGAGTACGTGTATCAATCCCATCTTGACCTGTATCAGCCCGAACCGCATTCCTGTGAACAGAACCACAAGCTCAGCTGAGGAACAGAGTTGAATCATTAGATTAGAAAGCCAGGAATTTGCTATATTACATAGAAGACCTGGTCACCTAGTGTTGGTGGGTTAGTGAAGCATAGGGCTGTCTCTACGATGGATTATTCGCGTGGGTAAAACGGAGGGGAAGGCAAATACAATAATTATTTTGATTAGAAAACCTGTTTGTAAACGTCTCCTCGAAAGACTGAATTAAAGGTGTTAAGATAACATTCAAACGTATCTTAAAGATGTATTTCGTAACAGACTGAAGTCGACGAAATCGGTTTAAGTCAGTGACCAGTGACGGGCTCTGGTTGAGTGAAGGTAAAACTAGTAGGATCTGAGGTTTTGACGGCGGTGAGTTTGAAGATGGCTGTCTTCTGGGTTGTTGTGACGTGTAGTCTGGTAGAAATTTACTGACGTTTCAGGAGCCCATGCTACCTCCATCATCAGGACGATCACCCTCGCGCTGATGATGGAGGTAGCATAGCCCTCTGAAACGTAGGTGGACATCCACCAGACAACACGGCACAAGAACCCAGAAGACAGCCATCTTCAAGGTAACACTTGTGCACCTCTGCCAGAATATTAGGGTAAACTACTAGGTAAATAATTTACAGTAAGTTATAAAGAGATTAATTTTCGTACAGTTTAATGTTGTCACCAGCAAATCTCCTTGAAATTTAATAGAGTTCTGTTAAACGATACACAAACTTCTCATTGTTCACACAGGGAAGAAACTTTATGCATAAGGTATATATCCATTATTGCATTTAGCTTGGCTTGGCTGGACGAACTTCTGGTAGTACAGAGAGAGAGATTCTGCGGGTTGTCCGTTTACTTAGGAAAGACGAATTTATATTGGCTTAGTGGTTGCAGCACACCGTCCTAATTATCCATGCATTCCGGCATCACGCCCGGCAATGAAATAATTAGGGACGTGTTGATCCTATCAGTAGTATGATAACTCCTGCTGTATTTTCACTAAACGGAACCTACAAACTATTATTCTTTGAACGTGTTTAAAATGTTTAAGAATTCGTTTATTAACTTCACAATATACAAAGTTTTATATATAATGAAAATAAATATTGTCCATTAAGGATAACTTATTTAGCATTTTTACATAAACATATTTTATTACAAAACTCTGAAGCCGGAAATCATTTTCGGGTCTAAAAATCTACAAAGCCATGCAGAGATTTTGTACTCAAAATGTATACCCATTATTTATGGAAGTGGTAATATTGTAACACTTAGCATTTATCATAGGCATATTATAATATTCACGTACTTTCAACTTCCTATTATGAGTGATAATGTCGAATCCATGTGTGTTCGCACTTACCGATGCACATACGAGGACCTTCACCAAACGGTAAGTGTGTGTAGCTGGGTCGATTCTGCTTATTATCCTCTGTGAATCGTTCGGGATCGAATTTCTCTGGTTCTGGGAAGTACTTCGGGTCATTCTGAATACCCAGTACCGGTATGAAAATTGCGATTCCGTTTGGTAGTATTACTGTTCCCTTTCCCGAAGGGGAAGGAAGTTTGTAGTCACTGAGGCACGTCCGATCCAAGAATGGAGCTACCGGGTACTTCCTCAGTGTCTCTGAAAGAAGAGAGTGGAAGCCAGGGTATTGAAGAAAGGACGAACAGAGACAGGTAATTCAACACAAAACAAGAGATGAAATGTGTAGCTGGTG